TCCTTGTTGATATGTGCTATCTGTCGGAATCAAGGACTCATGACGCAAGTACTGCAATTGAACTGACTTCCCCCTCACTCTCTTCCTGGTTCCTGCACTTCAATCTATATCACACACAGTTGGAGTTCAGTTAGAGGGGCCGATGACATCTGTCATCCAGTCCGCTTCTATTCAGGAATCTGATGGTAGGTGACTCTGTCGCTATCCTACTCAGGCCACCGTCCCGATATCTACGGTAGTTGGGGTGCCGTGCGCACTGGGTCTTCCGGGTAAATGCTGTGGCATTGGCCTTTCTGCCGACGCATAGGGATTACCGTTGGCTCAGGCGTGAACCTCGCCTGAAACACTCGTGTCTGCTTCTAAGTAGGCGTGCAATGCCGTCTTCCAGTTAGAGAGGGAGGGTGCTTAAAAGGACACTGAAGGTTCTATTCCGCCCTGGTGCGTGGCTGGCATTGGGTGCGGATAGGTTAATCAGCTGCGGTCGAAATAATGTTAACACTGTTATTAAAACTCCAAGGCTGTGTAGTCGGTCTAAAACATGGTTGTTGTGGTGAGGTAGGTACACCCTGTCCCAACGACTGGGTATCTCGGAATGGGAACGGTATAACACCCCGTGATGATTCTCCTACCGCATTTAAATCGGAAGTGATCGCGTTTTTCCGGGCAACTGCCAACCGCGAACGCGTGGGACTTCCAAACATTGCTGTATCAGGTCGATATCCAGATGGACCGCCTTAGTTCGGCCGTGAACGAAACACGGCTGACCTATGAAGTCTTCCCAAAGTTGGCGGCGGATGCATATTTTGCTGGATTGGATACTGGACAAGAGAAAACCGGGATCATTGTGTCGGTTTTGCCCAATCCGCTCGACTCAAAACCTCTTGGAATAAAGCCACGTCTTGCATCACTGTGGCTGAGATTGATAGGTCAAATCTATATGGTCGGTACATACGCTCCAACGCTCTGCCCAGCTGGCTTCTGCACCGGTAAGTTCGGATCCATCCAACCCACTGGCAAATCAACTAACAGAGGATGATGACCGTAGTCAGTTAGATCGGGCAAGCGCATCCTAGATGCTATGGCTAGTCTGACGACGCCATCTAACCTATAAAACAGCTTGTAGTAGCAGCTTCGGTGTGTCAGAGAGTTTGCTTGCGGGTCTGACGACGTCATCTAACCTATAAAACAGCTGTTAACGAAATTAAGTGCCTTCCGAATCTCCCCCAGCTGATCGACGAAGTCAACAGCTAGAGGATGTTCAAAATGACCTGACTCGGCCGTTCGGCAGTATAAAAGGTAAATTTTTTGGAAACAAACTAAGCAATCGGATAATTCGTTGCTTGGTGGCAACACAAATAACTTTGCGAATCTTCGAGAACCCCCTACAGGCCGAGCATACATTAACCCCTAATCTCTAGGATGACGCGGAACCGACGCATATGTTACCTGCAGAACTAGTGGCACAAGCACTGAACCGACCGACGAGCGTCCACTGGGTTGCAGGAGTTAGGCTGCCTCAGCGGGAAATGGAACTGTCCTCGGATCTTCCTTTGACTATCGAAGAGAGAGAGAGAGAGAGCGGACGAGCGTGGGCTGAACTGTCAGGCAGCTGAAGATGGTATACTTGCAGCAGGACCGCCCTTCTATGACAATGCGACTCTGGAGAATGCGTTTATTCTACTGACTAACATGATGTGACTGGAAGACGTTCTACTAGAATTCAAGACTTAATAATCGTGCCACTCTTCATTGTTAAAAGAAACAATACCTGACATCTACGGAGACAGTCCCTTCAGTTGTGCACATAAGCTCACGGGGCGATACCTACTCAATCGTCTGACAGTAGAAGTTATCGAAGCACCAATCCCAAAAAGAACAGTTTAGCTTCTGCGCTGACCGAAACACTGCGGATCTGATGTTTGTTGCATGATGGCCCCAAGAAGCGTTTCGCGAACATTACCAGCCTTTCCTTACTGTCTCATAGACTTTACGAAGGCCATCAACAGCTGTGGATGGTGGTCCGCGAAAATTCATCAACTTCAATGAAGGAATGAAAGGAATGAATAAACAGACTTCAAGTGGTTGCGGAATCGTAACAAGCGTAATACTGTGATGCATCCTTGCATTCGCTCTCTGCAATCTACATCTGAAGACCTTCGTGAACGACATACTGACTTGCAATTCGAGTATCGGCTTGATGGACTCGAGCCCCAGATGGCTCAGTGGCTAGATCGCGAGCTTACTAACCGAAAGGCAGTGGCTGCGAAAAAAAGGACGGTATGAAGGGAATCGACACAAATTAGAGTTCGTCAACGCGGCAGTCGCCAGCTTCGATCCTAAAAGCTGGAGCGTGGGCCTGGTGACCGAACAGGCTGGATGTGCGGCTGCGGTCTTGTTTGTGATCCGTCTATCAGATTCGCCTTAGCATTCTGAGGTTATCAGGTAGTTAAGCCTGCAACAGTGGCAAAAATGATCACGACCTACCGGAACGGCTTATCCTGGGCGGTACTGGAAGTGATTTTGATGACCATCATCTTGTTGACAAAATCAAACCGAATCACAGTTAACTGTAGAACGCATTACGGATTTATTCTGGGTTCATCTTATTATTAACAAAGCCCTCCCCAATCCATGAGAAGCAATCACTATTGGGCTCAAATAGTAGTGTGTGTCCATCCGTCAGCAAGGCCCCACTTCAATGCAATGGATAGTACGGAGCTCTAGACCTGTAACGATGCTGCAAGTGACTTTACGTGGCCATTGTTGCATAGAAAGATGAGTAACACTAGCTGGCCACATGTTTGTGCTTAGAATGCGTCTTCTGAGGGATCCCAGCCACCAGATAGCCCTTTGTGTGTACTTTGGGGCTCAACTGTTTAGTTGTCAGGTACTAACGACCGGTTGGACATGCTGATGTGGGAATCGCCCGTCCCACTTGTTCACTCTTCAGTCTTGTTTCCCTAGATTTACACCTGGTACAAGGAATTCGGTTAGATGCCCATGCATCTCCTTGCAAACTCTGTATGACATTACCCAGTATGCGCAGGCTTCTATCAACTTCTTTCGGTGGACGGTAATAGCACAATGACTACTGCCTCGAATAATTGTGAACAATTAGCTTGTTTGATTAGTTTACGAGAATAATGATCCAAATTCTTCTGTACATGGTATCCTAATAGCTCCTGTTACATAATCATGCAAGGCATCGTCCACACATGTGTACATGTGTACTGCAGGACATGTAGCCAGTGTTTTGTGAGTGTATGATAACAATTTGGGATGGCCTAAATCCGTTCATTAGAAACAAATGTGCAAAAACTGACAAGCTTGACAGGGTACTAATTGGATCACCAAACTGGCAGTTGGGCTCTGTTTGCATCGTGAATTTATATACTTTATAACCGGTATCGTCCGTTGCGTGTAATATACAGATTGATAACTTCGACTGAGTGAAACCTTCAAAAGAATGGTCTGTCACCAAACGAACTGGAAGCCAAATTTTCCCGACTGCGTATGTTGCGTACTGCGCACCGTAGTGGTCTCCGTTTTATATAATCTCTTTGTAGAACATCAACTAGTCGTATAGGGTGGTATTTTGTAACCTTTTTGTTTAAATTTTCACCCAGTGCAGGGAGATCATTGTATCATGCACAGCGAGCCAACAGGGAATTTGTCTACAAAGTTCGAAGATTTGGTCCTGGTACATTTTTTGGCGAATATTACATGCTGTCCAGAACCCCGCAGCTGCAAGACATTGATTGTTGTTTATCGATATGCACATCTGGAAACTTGTAAGCGTTTAAAGATACCGATTCCATACGTACATGTTCATCAACTCGGTCATATACGACCTACAGCATTAGACTGCTACTTCCGGCTCCGTGTTAGTTGTTGTCATAGAGACTGTCAGTTGGAACACAGGAATACGTGGATGCTCGTTTGTGTTTCATGTGCACTATACTTTATAATCGACGTGTGTATCCACTCCGATGTCCCCTGACTTTTTTCGATTACGAGTGTGTGCCGCGGTTAAATTTCAATATTTGTTAGTTAGATCCTGTCCAGACGATTCTCATTACTCAATCTTTAGTCGAGCAGATGATAGTACCCCACCCTACTTCTCGCAGTCTCTAGCGAACTAAATCCTGGGTGGGCAATCCCCCGTTAGTGAATCACGAAAAGTGGATTCACTGATGACTGGGAGATCTTAATTCAACGAGTGAGGTACATTCTACCAGGGATCGGTACAAGTAACCTACTAGTTCCTTAGATGTAAAAGGGGTCTGCAGAAGATATAAATTTTGCCACTTTTACACAAGAATGTCCTCTCGTTTGGAAGATTTGAAAGGCGAAAATAAACAGCAGACACATGTGAGTTTCTGTGAACTTCTATGAAACTTTCAGTGGACAAGCCATCCTATATATGACGGACTGTGGCATCCTTACAAGGATTTGGTTTGCCCCCACAGTATTTTGAATGTTGCAAACCCGAGTTTTTTATGCCTTTGGTTTCGAGTGTAGATCCTCGCAATAACTCGGATTTTTGTTTTGGCTGATCTAGTATAGGTTTGGTACAGAACTGTTGCCGTCAGTATTTTATACTGTTTCTTCTGATTTAGCTAGTGGCGACTGTTCAGTCTAATCCCAATTAGATATGCTTAGACATATGATATGCCTGCTGATTTCCCTGATAGTCTCGACCAATCTGCAACAACATCCATTCGTAATCGTTCATCTGTAGCACCCTTTCTGTGCGTAACTGCCACGCCACCCGAAGGTTGCACTTCACTGTTATTCAGTATACCAAGATTCCTTGCAGCGTATGAGGATCCATTTATAGCCTTATCTATCGATAAACTTATTCTGATGGTCTAGGTGACCCTCCGAATTAAGTGCATCGCACATCTCACGGAAAAATTCAATTATAGTCTTCATTTGTCTGGCCTTTTATGTACTGACTCTCTTCCGTAACGAGAGAAATCATTTTCCTGATATCCCAGGTAAAAGAACTGGCCACGCTTTCACTAAAAAATCCGGTTCAAGTCTTCCTCAACCAAACAAATGCGGTCGCAAAGCGTCTGCAACAAGAGTTCATCCGCATTCGACCACATCGTGAGGAGGATAGAGCAGCCATTTTGGTTGCTCTGCTCGTCCGCACCTTCAGCAAGCGCACAATCGTGTTTTTACCAACGAAGAAAGAGTGCCACCGAATGCATATTCTGCTTAGCCTTATCGGTCACTCTTGTTCAGAGCTTCATGGAGACATGACTCAAGCTCAGCGTCTCGAAGCTCTGCGCCGCTTTTCTGAATCAGCGGACAGTCATCCTGCCGAGTCAACATCAGGAAACACCACCTCTACAAAACCCGCTGAAGATGTACCCAAACCCCAGGTTGATATCTTACTTGCAACCGACTTGGCTGCACGTGGTCTCGATATACCCAATGTACAGACAGTGAGTCTCCCGATTCCAAGTACTCCCCTACAGGCTGTTTGTTTGTTTTCCCCTTACTCACTTTTCTTCCTTTTTAAGTCTTCTGCGCCCTTTAGTGTAGCACGACCTCTAGGTGTGCTTTTTTTCTAATCAGTCGTTGTTACAGACTGACGATTGGTGAATAGCTAAATTGTTTGTCCAATTGGTTTTTTATTCTCGAAGGGGATCGAGCATTTACCTGAACAAGTATTCTTCATTTCCGCCCAACAAACCACCAACTGTTTACGTGAGGTAGCGTCACTTCTCGGCAAGCATTCTGAGGGCCCCCTAAGTAAAACCCGCTATAACTTCAAGTTTAGGACATTAATGAAAAGCCTGAATAACATGGATTAAGGTAGTTTTTTCGATACATGACGTCTATGGCTGGTATTCCGAATGAAGTCGACTCGATTGTCAATGCGGACTGTCATGGAATATGAATACACTTAGAGGGTTGCTTCCTACATTACTACTACACTACTGCTTATATGTGTTCTTCTAATTTTTCGACCCAAGTTTATCACACTAGCGACCGAAAATCTGAAACCATGTACTACGGATTCGCACCAGTCAAAATAAACGAACCAGGAACTTCACACGAGGACAGATTAACTACAGATTTTTGCAACAACATAATTAAACGTACGAAAACTCGCAAAGCCTCGCCAACTGCCACCGACCGGCCTAAACAAGATGGCGTAGTAAACAGCGTCAGCATTAATTGTTTTGAACGAAAGTGCTGGTGTTACTCATCACTGACGTGAAAACGCACTTATCCGAAGTAGCTCAACGATGCTCTCTGAGCATCCCCCGTTGCCGCACGGTTTGAGTGAGGACGGATAATTGGTTGGGTGCTTACTGGCGCTTTTATGTCAGCAGACTCGGGTGGTTTTTTTTATCACGAATTGTAACGAACGTATCTTCGACACCTTATTGGTGCCTCTATGGTGGCCAGCATAAATATGTTGATGATCCACATGTCCGATCCTGCTCTGTCATGCGGAGGTTTGGCAAACCTATGTTAGCGCCGTTGAGTCAGACGGAGTATGGCTTCCAGTAATTCGTTTTTGTTCGACCATTGTGATAAGCTGTCCCCAGAGTTATTTGAACCTGTGAAGAGAGTCATTCGCCAATCCGCTCCGTCAGTTTTTCCACGACCGAATGCCAAGATTCCAACTTTTGAAAACCTTCAGTAGTCTGATTTTGTGCCTTTCTCTAAACCAACTTGATTCTTCAGTGAGCTTCATATGGATTGTGTCCCGGACGCTGTTTTCGCTCTTTTTTTACGGTTCCACAATAGATTGAACACAATTCCGTTGCCGTTTTAAGAACTCTATTGTCCGATCAGGTCATTGAGTTTAAACGCTTTCTTAAGCATTGTAAGTGCAGCAGAACTTGCCAGTCGCCTTTATGCATAATGCTGTTTTTTTTCGCGAATATCCTGCTTTTGATAGCTCTCCCAGTGGTTTGGAACGCTGATATTAGGTTGACATTAAACACCGTTGCAAATAAAAACGTCATCTCAAGTAGCGTAAAGGCAGTCATTGATGGTTAATGGGAATCATCGTGTTCATAGCAGGTGTTGGTTGCCCAGTAAACCTGTGCTTATTCTTTACAGCCTTGTTCGGTCACTTTTTGTCTGCTGAGGCTTATTCGCGCAGGCAATTAGTTCATTTACTCAGCTTTTTGTAGAGGATGAACCGTGATAACTCTTCGTTTTGTTGCAGCTGGCTTACTGTCAAGCGGCGATTGCTTTTATATTGATTGTATTTACTCTAGGTTGTTCCTTGCATTGAATGAGCTTCGGTTCGCTCGTTTTTGACTGTCCGTGATGGTTCAATTTTGCTGCCTTTGCTACAGTGGCCCAACAAAGTTCTTATTTCAACCCCGAATTCAATACAAGGCCTCGCTGTTTAGTTCACAACCCTGTGAGAATGAGTAATTTGACTTAACCGCCACATGACACCTTACCTTGAACATAGTTCATTCAACATCGCTGTTTTCATCTACCTATTCATGTCAAATCGACTTTTTGCAGATTATTAACTACAACCTCCCCCAGACCATGAAACAGTACGTCCATCGAGTTGGTCGAACAGCTCGTGCTGCGAATACAGGCCGGTAAGTTTTGACTAGTAATAACTCTGTACAGTACTATACCATAGTGTAATGGTAAACCACTGGTGCATACACAGTAAGTCATTGTGAAAATTGCGACGAACGCGACTGTTCCGGATATATAAGCCCAGGATTGGTTGTTCAGAGCTTCTCCTGACCACACTGGAACCATAAACTGCGACTAGTTGGGCAAGAACGTGATGACGGTGGCCACACAACTGATGGATACTGTCAGTAATTTGTGGAAAATAAATATTGCCAAACAACTTGCAGGCTTTGTCTTGTCAGTAATCTTCCACAGCTAATTATAATACTATTAGCGGTGATTACTGGTTCTCTAGGTTTGGGCTTGGCGGTCTGTGAGGCCAAAACTAAGCTCACACTCCGTTTTCTGAAAGCTGTTTCGGGTATCCTGTTAGTTCATCACTAGGTGCTGAGTTTTGCTCTTCATAACTCCCCACACTAGCCTAATAGTGACCAAATGAAACGGTATTTATCTTGTATTCCCATCAGCTTGTAAACAATTGGGTGGCATGAATTGTGGCCTGCGGATGATCACAGCCCACATCAAACTCACTTCTCCTCCGACAACTTTCAACGCTATTCCTGACGGTTTCTGCTGAATCTATGTGACCCGGTTGAACTTGTTTTCACGTTGATACGATAATAATTTTAAATTAGTGGTAAATCATTGACTGTTGAGAATGACCGGAAGGTCCGTGGTTCGAACCCGACCTCTGCTTCTCGACTTCCCCTGTCTCGGTTTGGGCAGCCTGGCAGTATGCCAGCCCTCGTGCTTCCTTCGGGTGACATGGCAGCTAGGCACCGGGAGGGTATTACAGCCGAACGATTTTTTTTGACAATGAAGACAATGTGCTTGGCTCATTTATGAGACGTCACTCACTGGCCAATGTAGCACGGAATCCAACTGACAGGGAGATTCCTCACAGGCATCGTGAAGCCGCAGTTGCAAATACAAATGTGAAGGTCAAACTGAGTCGACAGTAGCGGTACTCGTTTATGGATTTTTTGTTATCTGATTACGATACCAAGTTACTTCCTGAAACCAGTATTTTATAGGCCACAGCAGTCCATGGTTGACCTTAGCTGTACCCTTGTGTGACGTTTGTGAAGCGATCACCTCATTCGCTGTTCTCGTTTGTAATTATGTCTGACTTATGTCAGGCCAGAGTTTGCATACATTTTTACACAGCTGATCTGGAATCACTTGGAGTGTCTTGTGGCTTAGTTCTTTCTTGTGAGCACTACCCACTTCACCCCAACATTCGGTAAACTCGGGACATTTAATCTCCCTATTTTAGTGCTGTCTCCCTGGTTGGAGAAAACGACCGTAAACTGCTGAAACAAATCATCAAGGAAGCGCCATATCCCGTCCAAGCTCGAGTTATTCCCCCAGGTACTTCGAAGAATCCACTAAACTTTTACTTGTCTTTTTAGGCTCTCGTTTAATGTTGTATTAATCGGTATAAACCGCGGGATATACTGTGTAGTTTTGTTCCAGTTGGGTCTCATTGGGGTGCGCATGTCTGCATGACTGTCGATGCAGGTTACAAGCTATGGACGACCGAATAATGCTTTTAATGTTTGCTCAGATGCGCCTGTTATAGCTGCATTTATACATCTAATAGTTTGGATATCTCAGGATAATACTGTCTTGAGCTCTGTTCGCTCAAAAGCGTTTACTTCGGGTTTTGGGCTGATTCGCTTGTTACTTATTCTACTGGCTGGCACTCCACTATGGTCTAGTCTGCTTTTCGGATATGTTTCGGGACAAGTTGTACGATTGCTGAACATGCGCGCTGTTATACGTTTTTTTAAAGTTTTCTGGTTCTGAAGGACGGTCTTCATACCGCATCTTGGTGGTTTGCCAATTATCTCCTTGTTGAGTATCCTTATCGATAACGAAACCTAATTTCCGGATCAGAAGTATTCTGCTTTCTAATAATTATTTGCGCCCCATCTTTCCACTTGGGTAGCATGGGAACTATCAGTTTCTATCAGACACGACCTGAGACTATGTTGAGTTCACTCCGCTCTGTTTCCCCTTTAGAATTGACATTAGTTCATTTGCTTATCTACTATTATGCCTACTCAGGCGCTTGATGCATTTGACCATGTCCCAACTTCTGATTTTCAGAGGTCATCAGTCGTTTTCGCGAAAAGCTTGAAAAACTACAAGGAACGGTCGAGGAAATCTTAGCTGCCGAGGCAGAGGAACGAGAACTGCGAGCTGCACAGATACAGTTGGATAAGACCGAAAAGCTGCTGACCGAAGGTTCTCAATCCAAGAGTGATGTGCCGAAGCGTAAGCGAGTGGACTGGTTCGTCGAAAGGAAAAGGCAACAGAAGCTAGAGGCGCGAAGTAAGTAGTCTAGATAAGGAATTTTGACCAGACGCTTCTCCTTGTCCACGCTTCAGAAAACCCTCACGAGGAAACAGTATCTTATCGCGGTGTGGCGATTTGTACACCATAACCCATCTATCTATGTTGGGGAGTGTACTTGTGATACTCACAGAGCCTTTTATACATGATTTGTCTGATGAATAGTTTCCTGGTCCTTCAGGTTGGACGTTGGAGCGTGTAAGAAGACTTCTTCAACACGTAGACTGCTATGGCAGTCTTACGTTAACCACGCCCGCTTTTCGGTTAGGTTTCTGGCTCAAGGGCTTCCTTGAGCACTAATCGTCCTTCTGTCCAGGTCGGGGTACCCTGGTAGTATCTCAGGCCGGGTACAACCAAATAGTGAAGGCTATGGTCAATTTGTTGTGGCTGCCTCAAGAAACCTCAATAACTGAGTAGCAGTGCTGAAGTGGGATAGCAAACCCGATGACCTGTGGTAGGATATTTAGTTATAGAAGCCAGTGGTGCTTGTGGCCTACCTCAAGTAAATATGATATTTTGAGAAAGATAACTCCAAACACGTGCTACTTCATTCAAACGGTGAGATGCCTGTCGGTTCTGTCAATATAGCTTGCTCCGTATTTACATGTTAATTGGTACACACAATGTGATTTTGCTCCCGCAAGTTGGCCTTCTTTGACTGAGGATAGTGGTATCCCCTCTGTTTGGTTGATAACGTGATTCCGTTGCATTATCTGTCCGCTGTAGTGACAAGATTAGGCATTGCGTTACCGTTGTCATTGTATATCCTCCGAAAGCGAGCTCAGTTTTTTTGGGATCAACGCTACGGCGCGTCGAGCAGTTTAAGATATAAGCACATCCGGACGAAACGAGTCGCAAATGGTACGATAGAATCGATCATGTGGAACGAAAACTGATACCCTATTACTTAGGTGGTACGATGTTTGTGAAGCGTTCTCTGACCATACTTCCGAGGTCTATACCGAGTGCATTTTAAAGGTAAGATTATTAGCACACATGAGTGGACATTTCCGTCATTCTATTCAACCCACCTGACAACAAAGGCCTAGGAATAAACAGAAAATACGGGTCCTTGTGGAAGTTGCACTGATTTTTTGTGACTGAGATTTACCCTTTGATCATACCTTCGTTCTTTCCGACGGACATCACAATAGATTAACTACGTTGCTCCTCTAAATGACCGCTTTCTGTTGGTAGATTCTTTCCGTGTCGCAACTTGTTTTTGAACCAATAAAAAATTCAGTCTTACTTCAGTGCTCTCCCCTCTGGACTAAAACAAAACGCGATATCTGGAATATGGTACTAGCTGAAACGTGAGGCGGGGGCTCCTTGGGCATACAATGCTCTTAGCTGCAAAACCTTCACGAGTAGAATGAAACTTCTTACGCTAAAATGTTGCATTTTGTTGCGTATATGAGCGATCCAAAAATCACCCAAATCTACGTTCATATTTTCGCAACTCACCAGATTCCACTGTCCACTGAAGCAATCATACCTCTGGCGGAAGAATTTTGGTGGAATACTTTTTAGCATCACTGGGACCTTGGGATGCTTAGATCAGGCTCAAAAGTCTGGACCGGTATCCTAACTCAATTGTCTGTCCGTTTTTATCCATCAGGGACGAATCGTAGCTTTCGAAGATTCAGTTCCACTTTGAGAATATTGAGCACCATTCATTTGAAGAAAAATGAGAGATTCAACTGTATCAAATTGGGTTTCCCGTTAAAATCAAATTAGTGCAGTTCATGAATGGCCTCCATTTCGGGTCCATGTACAACATAGGATTGACGGAAATCCGGGGACGGCGTCTATCTGATATGCCCAAAAATAGCGAAACCGGTCGTGGGTTGTCGAACAGCTTTCAGGAATCTCATGAGTAGCAAGTCCCGTCCGAAAATGCTCTCTCTCTGAACTGCATTCTTCCGTGCAACGGGAGTAGAAACCAACCTATATGAAGGGAAACGTTGTTCTGCCGATTCAACACAAATAAAACTGGCTATTGTCACCCTTTAAATAGGGCAACAATATCATAGCCTAGCACCTTTGACCTTGAGTTCATTTGATGGTGTTTTCACTTGATGACTGTGTACTGAGACGAGACGTTTCGGGGACAAATAAATAAAAAACACGGAGCACCTTCCATGTGTGCCTTTTCTGGGTTGTTTTTAATTCAAACGATAGTTTGATCTGCGCCCCCTTTGGCCTACGGAGACTAGCTGACCAGAACAATGCATAAGCATTCCGTCGATATCTTCTACTTGTAGGGTGATCTTGAATGAACTGCAGTTTCCAAGACAGTATATGAGCAAAAGTTAACGTTTAATACTATTCAGTTCAGCACTGGGTTGGGCGAAGAGATCTCTCAGGCCTGCACCCAGCGTCACAAACTGCGGTGACTATCGTGCGCTGCGAATGCCAGTTCTGCTTTCCATACTGAATTCCGATTGGAAGGCGAACAAAGTCAGCGGGACTCACGTTGCTAGCTTAGCTGACGTAATATATGCATGTGCGAGGCTGGCACGAGGCCCTCGTTGTTCGTCAAGGTTTTCTTAAAGTGAATGGGCGTCGCTGTGCTGTATGTAGGAGACTTGTAGTGTCCTTGTTGTTCGTCAATGTTTTCTCAAAGTGAATGGGCGTGGCTGTGCTGTATGTAGGAGACTTGTAGTGTTGTAGTGATTCCGAAAATCAATCACGAAAAAGTTCCCGAATCGTTCCTGGAAAACCTCACTTTTTCAGGCAACTTTGTGAGCAGTGTGTTACATTTAAAGTCTGAAGTACAGCTTTCGCTTGAACTTAACATTAAGTCAGATTTTTCATGTACTGTCATTCTGCAGAAGGTCAATAGGTCAATGCAGCGAACTTGTCCGGAGAAAATGATCTATTGTCACAAACTTCATGTGGTGATAATAAAAGCAGAATTTAATCAGATGCTAGACTAGGTGGATAGTTCCTGTCGGTTGTATGCAAGAGGCTAATATCTGGAGGACAAATTTCTGCAAAACAGATGCTTTGAGAGTTCATATTAGAAATGCGAAGTCTACAGAACCAAATGCTGAACAGTAACAACGATATGCTGCTTCATGTCGATATAAAACTCCTTTTCGAAGGCCTTTCGATTCCGGATGTAGTTCCTACTACGGTGGAATGCCCATCACACCACTGGTGAAACAACTGTTACTAATGCTCCTCAACAAGAATGGAGCAACCCTCGGCTTATCAGGATAGATTGACTTCGATTGTGGTGTGAAGCACCGATTAAGAGTGTTGGCTATTTGGTCTTACGCTAGTCGTTAGGAGAATGGTTAATTATTTCTTCCTCTCATTTGCACGTGTTTTCTTTTTTAGACGCGAAGAAAGCTAAATTATCCCGAAAAAAGCAGAAACAGAACTCTAGTGATTCGGAATGAGTTGGAATTTGTACATTAACTGAGAAAATATACACTACTACACACATGCTCATACGGACGACTTTTTGACTTCACCTTCCCTTTGACTGAGGAGGGTTTCCCGTAAGAGCACGAGTACCACAGCTCTCGTCGTTTCGGATCTTGTCTTGCTTACACGCTTGATCATACCCTCTTCAAGGTGGCTTATTGTTACGAATCTATGGACGCGCATCTAACGATGTTCGTTAACACTGAAAGCAGCACTTCGCTTAGCTAACGTCTTCGTTCAAATGCTTAACTGCAATTACGAAACATGAAGGGAGCAAACCGATATGCTTTTTTCAGACGCGTAAGACCATTGGTATCCTTATCAGAAAGGTACTCGGGTTGAGTCTCACCTTTGGTGTCCATTTGGAATGCCGTGAACTGCGGGTTTGATACAGATTGCACCGGAGTGACGGTTGAAATGGTACTTGACCCGGTGTCTTGCTTAACTTGTGGACCTTATAGTTCTATATATTTAATTAAAGTCTTGACGGAATTTCGATGGTCTCATCTGCGTAAATGGACGAAGGAGTTTCCGACTGCTGGTTGGATACATTGACAGCGATATCGGGTTATGAAGCTAACCTTACGATTAGCGAAAAACGCTTTAGATGTCCAGAGCGCCGATGTTTTTTGTTTCCGTTTAAGGCGTTTAGGTTCAAGAGCTCAACTTGTCTTGTGCTCCCTACGTATGGTTGATCATCTGAAGCCGCTGGGCTGGGTTGACTTCTGTTACCGCTGGGCTACCTCTGTTAGGTCTCAAAGTTCTTCTGTATAGATCATATCTCACAACACAGCCCCACGAGGGTCAAATTTCCAGCCTGGTTGCTCATTTCTGGTGGACACTTCACTTCATTCTATGGTTGGTAGCGGACTATGCGTTCTGGAAACTATTTTCTGTAATTCGTCGTCAGAAATCCGGCAGGCATGCTAGACCTGTCCTCCTTCCATTGTTGCAGGAAACGGAACAGGGCACCGATAGTTTGGTAGCGCGAAAGCAGCTTCGCGCCCTGTGTACTAGCGAGGGTTTGAAGTCCCCGCAATCTGAAAAGAAAAGTTGTCCTTACGCACAGGTACCAAACGCAAGTAGTGACCATTATTAGCTGATGAAAGAATACTTTAGCATGAACGCGGCACGTGGGAATACCGCTTGGAGTCATCGGTGCCTCTTCAATTCTGTCAACAAATAAACGTGAACAATTCAACATTTCTTTCGCGCTCCACCGTAACACCCAAGTCACTTAACAGAAAACCGTGATCTTAATAAAGTAGCTAACTGTCTCCAACAATAAGGGTACATGCAGCTTCGTCCAGCTGCATTCAATCGTCAACTGTCTGAATCAACGGTGTGAAATCAACTATGGTTCTACTTCCACGCCTGAGTGTATCACAGCTGGCGGGTCTAAACGTAGTGAATGACATGTGGCGTTGGATTAACATAAATTGAAGACGGAACCAAATGTGTGAACCACTGGATCACGGTGCGGCATGATCTAGATAGAGGAAATCTTGCCAAAGGCGTTTTAACGCGCTTTCGCTTTGATAGCGTTAGGAACTCACGATGGTTTTTTTCTATTTAACGTGATCAAACACTCCCTTGAGAAGCAGACGAAAATATGTACCAATTGGCTCAGTTAATTAAAAAAACAGTACAAATCAAAGCAAGAAGCTACCAATCACTGTCAGTTTGAAGGGAATGTAGATAACGATAGGTATGCAATAGATAGTGAAGATACTAGATTGTCGGCCATATGAATTCGTCAGTTCCAAAAAGAGATGACGGTAGTTCATTTCTACCAGGGTAACTGGACTGCGTGCCGGCCTTACGAATTGATTGACTTGCTACCCAAATGGCTCGCCGGATGTGCTCAACGGGGCCAAGGTTTGGGTGGCGCGAGATGAAGTGGGCCAAAGCACCAACAAAGCTGTCACCAGCACCCTATAGAAAAATGACAGTAAAAGAACTACGTCCAGAAAACCAAAACATACTTGAATCGGTAGGCAACGGTGGCGTTTGTCATAAGGCTTATGGTCATCAGTTGAAAGTGGCATTTCCTCAGACATTATATTACAAGGGTGGATTGAAATATGCATTGGGTTTCTTCTGGAACACGAGGAAGGAACAAAGCATGTGGCTTTAAACCACCGAACTAGCATTTTCGCTCCGATTTTTAGGTTACTATTTATCCTGGGTTCCTCTTATTGGTTCTGTATAGTTCGGATTCGGTTTACGAGGTGCATATAAAAATCCGACACTTCGCTTGTACGCGTCCTAGGAAAATACTTCATAAGCCAAATGGGTTTAAAATCTGGCGACCTAGTAGACATTAGGAGTGCAATGGCTGTTTTACTCTAATCAGTTGATTCGGCCGACTGCTTTTTATTTTCGAGACATGGCTTTACCCTGGTTAACTGAACAACATCGTGGTGGCGAATACGGTCTGGATAGAATTTCAACATAATCGTGTAACGTGATTAGATGAGAAAACACACGTGATCTACAATTATCGCTACCTTTTGTGAAAGCATTGTAGTCTGCCGCAAACTCAGTCAACAGCCATATAGGGATCGACTCGCTCTACGCACAACTGCAAGCAAAGGGCCACCAACTTAATCGGGTAACACAAGAGAAACGGACGGGTCAGGTGGAAAAAGGGCAAAGGTAGCAGAGTGTTTCAGAACTGTCGGATTCAAAGTCATTCGGGAGCTGACTAATCAGGGAGCTAGCCAACCATCCAAAAAACGGGACTGACCATCCAAACGACCGGTCATAACCACAGGTCACCAACCTGCGCATCAACGGAGCATACATGAGTGAAAGCACGGCTCTGCTCAATGCCTACAAATCGACACACTACTACGCAGCGTTAACTTACTACGCAAAGATTTCAGCTGGATTGATGACGAAGTGCTGGCAACCAAATTGCTCAGCTCAGCGAACAGAAAAACTGGCCTCTCTACAACCCGAGTAAACCCTCCATAGCATGTAGACAATGAGCCTATCAAGAATGGATTTCAGTCTATTGCACTATTACATGAACTGTCATCTCATGATGACTACCTTGATTGTGAAGGCAGTTACCGAGGTAAGTACAAAGACCGATGATATATAAAGGCAGTTGATTACTGTCGACTAAAATATGGACGACTGCGCATCATCTAGACGAAATCTAGTCGTTCGATTCCGCTCCCAGTGAGGTCAACTGCGAAGCTGACAAACCAATCTCTAACCACAGTGACTGTGACCTCATTGGACGAAAACCTGTACTCGAAATGTTCAAGCCTAGAATTTAGAGACGGTCTGAATGTGCAACAAAAGAAATGCAGAAGTCATTCCTCGATGGGGTTTTCTAAGGTACTTTGTTTCTGTTTGTAATAGGTTTTTGGCTCATGACATGGGATAAATGGTACGACCAACGATTGCGCCCAGATATATTCCAATAATCCTATTGCTTACCGTAGTATCCACAGCGTCTGAAATTGTGGGAGCTGATAAATGAAGTATGACGAAATTGGCTAATATTCCGGTCCGGAGCTGTTTGGTGTGAACTATCGAGACATCTGGTGGTAGTTGATCAGGTATTTTAGTAGTCTCCAGCAGTGCGACCGTTCCTTTTGAACCCATCGTGATGATGGGATGTTTGACACCCTGGTTTGATAGCCACAGGAGACACTGACGGAACGTTGAAAGGAGTGGATCCATGTTGCTTTTTTTAGGGTCAAATTCAGGTGCAATGTGACCATAACAATGAGCTAATTGCAAAGCCTCTGTTTCGTTTGGGCAGCAGTAATCAGAAACAGCCAAAAGCTTTTTCAAGACCTCTAGATGGTTCGCGCCTTGGATAGGTACGGTTGGTGGTGCCGGATTCAAAATTGTGACCGCACCGTTTTGTTGAGCAAGTTCCATTGCACATAAGGATGCTGTGGCGCAAACCTAGGGGGCAAATAACGTGGTTGGAACATGAAAGTACTCATAAGTGAAGAACATTCCGAAGGTCGAGCTGTTTCTTACAAAACGGAATAGTAATAAATGTATGAAAACAGATAAGTTCAATGTTACGTTTGGAACAGCCGTGTCGAGTTGTGTTTGAAACAGATCATCGCTGTGTACAAACATTGAACATCGTTGGTGTTACTCGGAGATCCAGAAGGGCTTTGAAAGAAAATCCGGATTAGGATGTTATTCAACGGAATATATCTCCTACAAACGTTGGTTTAAAGGGATTCCCGAGTGTTACACATTGGGTGAAAGGACACCACAAATGACAGATTCATACGTAGCTCGTTCAAATCTGACATAAACACCAACTAATTGTGCACAAGGGCCAAAAAACAACTTGATAGACAAAGGTGATCCAAATTCGAAGATTTTCCCCTCCAGATTAGTCGAGACAGAGTCACGCGGGTAATGTTTGTTACCTTGTACAGCCAGTGATTTCTGGGCAGCACCCCTTTGGTTATACCAAAAATCTCGGATGACTGTGCTTATATACCTACCCAATTAGGGATACATACTGGTGCTTAGCCACCACTCAACCATTACAATGCCTTATTGAATGATCGGTAGAAACGCGAAACGTGGACCTTGTGTTGGTCATAGATAATAAAAAAATTGTTGACAGCGGTGTTCTCAGAGTGGAACTAGTGGAGAATGTCCCGTATCATACAACTGACGCACGTGAGGATGCAAACCAATGGGGAAAGCAATCCATCATTTGAATGGAATACAGTTAGGTCCCGTAGAAACTCATTCAATCACGAACAAGCATACACCGTAACGCAAAGACTGGACCTCACCGCGCTTCACCTCCCTAACCTAGTGATCTATACTGCGGGGTGTGCATGTGACAGTCACAGAGGATCTCAGACCAGACTGGTCAGTGGATAGAGGTCTGACTNGTAATGTTTGTTACCTTGTACAGCCAGTGATTTCTGGGCAGCACCCCTTTGGTTATACCAAAAATCTCGGATGACTGTGCTTATATACCTACCCAATTAGGGATACATACTGGTGCTTAGCCACCACTCAACCATTACAATGCCTTATTGAATGATCGGAAGAAACGCGAAACGTGGACCTTGTGTTGGTCATAGATAATAAAAAAATTGTTGACAGCGGTGTTCTCAGAGTGGAACTAGTGGAGAATGTCCCGTATCATACAACTGACGCACGTGAGGATGCAAACCAATGGGGAAAGCAATCCATCATTTGAATGGAATACAGTTAGGTCCCGTAGAAACTCATTCAATCACGAACAAGCATACACCGTAACGCAAAGACTGGACCTCACCGCGCTTCACCTCCCTAACCTAGTGATCTATACTGCGGAGTGTGCATGTGACAGTCACAGAGGATCTCAGACCAGACTGGTCAGTGGATAGAGGTCTGACTAATAGTCATATGGTCCTCCAGGTTGTGAGTTGGGACGTGTGGCGACTTCGTCCTTAAGACGTGGGCTGCCTTGGCGGTCTTACTGCTTTGCAGCCTTTCAGCCAAAGGTTTTGGTTGATGACTCAAATCGTCCCCATACCCAATTCTGGGCGTTCAGCAGTATCCCAGCCAGCGCACAACCATGGGATACAGACTTACATGTCACATCGACCGTCGCATGGTTCCCACAGCCACTTCGCCCCACTTGCTGCATACAACAGGATTGAAAAGTGAAAACGAAATACTGCTGATAACTCTCTTTCTCTTCCACGTATTTTTTTCTCATGCTCCCCACGTTTCTAGTGGCAACGTCGTAGGCTTGTTCTTCAGAACTGACAGGTCTGTTCACCGCTGTTGGATACATCTACGGTTAGTTCGATTGCCACCGCGGAGACACTTCGAAATCATTCTTTAACCCTGGACGCTCAGTTCATCTAGCAGCACTTAGCGTTCGCACTCTGAAACAAGTCGGACAACAGACTGCTCTTGCATGTACATCAGTCTCCTTTTCTGAAGATCCGTGCTGTTTGTCTGAAGCGAGTATTCAAGACCCAATTATGGCTTTTAAAGTAACCTACCGATCGGCTTCCTCTCGGTTCAGGTTTCGTAGCTCTGGTGATTTAGAAGCCGCTGCGGCTGGTTCTTCTGGGGTTGGCAGTGTTCTAAGCAAGCGAGCTGAAGGTCTTATGGTTGCCCGCTGATAATCGATCAGCGCCTATAGTCGTTGCCGGTTCATTGTATCTGCCTATGTAGCTCTGATACACCAAAAGACAGCTTTTACGGCACTTTAAGCGCCTTGTTGTTGCGGGCTAAGAGCTCAGATATTGTTGTGGCTACCGGGGCGCGAGTAGGTAGACTTAGCGCTGCTGAAGCTCAACTGAGTGGTGGAATAGACCGGAATCGATTCACCCGGGTAACGACGAACGCCTGCAGAAGTTGTCCGCTGATCACATACCGCTCTTGTATAGTAATAACTTCCGAAACAACCGACCACATAGCGCTCCCGCCGTAAACTAACGTAAAACACAGAAATTAGCTACAGGTGATATGGGTCAATTACTGACTGTTGCTTGTTCTGGGACACCTATTTGTTTTTTTTTCATGCGCTTGTCCCAGCCAGGATACAGCTCTGGACAGTGAAGTTGGAACCACCAACGGTCTCAGAAATAAACGAATGACTTTTTCCCCTCAATCGTTATCGAGCAGGTGGTCCTGAGGGTCTCCCACCGCTCTGTTCAAAGATAGAGGCAGAATCCAAAATAGGTGCTTGTTTAACTAATTAGCCACTATCCGAGAGAAAGAGACCGCCCAAACCAGCTAAAAGGAGTTGACAGTGGTGCAAGTTTCAAAACGCGTTCTCCTTGTGAGTGTGCCTAGGCGTGCGTATTATAGGTGCCTTACGCACTTCGCGTTCTTTGAATCCAAGGGTGTTCGATTCTATCGACTGGTTAGTTCTTTCCAAGGCGCTTGCGCAACATGGTATGTCCCAGAAGTTCGTGAATACTATGCGCTGTTTGTATGCACATACTTTTGGGTGCGTGAGAATGTATGGGATCTTCTAAAGCTTATCTACGAGCAGTAGTGCTTGATTTTTTATTGATGGGGTACTGAGACGAACACTGGGAAGTCTCCGAAACCCTGGTGTTCATATCTGTCCGAGAGAGAACCTTGTTGACCTAAAATATACACAGGACATTAAACCCATTCTCAGAAAAGTGTAGCAAGCGCAAGCCTTGAAAGGCAGGCCAAGGTCACCCAGTTATTCAGCACGTTTTGCGCCAGAAATTGCGGGGTCATGCTACAGGACTGGAGGTTGTGGAACATTATACATATCCTGGAAGTTCAATTAGTTCTGATGGTGGTGTGACAGACGATGTTAACGCACCATTGTCGAAGGTCAGAATTGTGTTTGCCAATTTGCGCCCTTTGTGGTGTCAAAAAACATCTCACTGGGTCTCAAAAGACGCCTGTGCAGTGCGGCCTGTATTGCTGCTAGACTTGGTCAGTTCGAGGATCTGAGACATCTTCACGTCACTGGTCATAGATGTCTGAAAAACATGGCTGAAAGTGGCACATTCGCAATGAGTTGATCGGGAGACGGGTTTTTGGTGAGACAGAAGTTACTTCCCACAAATAATGTATCCAACACTGCCAACTAAGATTGCCGAGCTGTGTAATGCATGCCGATTTACGGCCTGGCGAGAAGAGCGCTGTTCTCTGTGCCTAATCCGGAGTGGCGGAAGCCGAGAGGTGAACGGAAGTTGACATGGTATAATGGAATGATGGATGTTGGTGCTGTTTACCCTCTACGACGGGGTAAACATGACACTCCCTGCGCCCGGCTTGAGACAACGAACGATATGGAGGCTAGCCGGTGTCAGTGGCATTCATGCTGAGATTCTTTGAGTGAGAGCTGGACGTGTAAGCACCTCGGATGTTTGTCTTTCTCCCTCCTCATTTCTTTCTTTCTGTCATAAGCTTTTATTGAAATCGGTATGGTTGTACGGCAGTGAAGCATTGGTGTTCCCACCTGTTTTCTTGCATACAGCGACTGACCGTTCGATGGGCGAGCCAACTCAAGACCAGCATGACATGAAATGTGTTTGCAAAAAAGCTGAAAAACAATGTAGACCAAGGTTTACATGTTTTTTTTTAACAGGACACATCACACAATGGCAAAAACTTCAGCCCGGCCGTCCGACTAGGAAGTGACAGCGTGCCTAACACTGGGAGCGGTGGCTTGTCATGTTCTGTAGGGTTCCTAACGACGTGCACAATGACGCAGACCAGAAATAGGAGCGCCGAAGATCTCGCAGCACTCGGTTTGACGTTGGCTTCCTTCATTTTTTGTTCTAAAATAAGTTCAAATAAACCAATTAAGGTGAGACAGCGAAGATGTTTAATAATCTTCAAGTGGTGCTGGTGGAATTTTTATTTGAACCGGCAGCCCGATGGCACTTCAAGATAAAAAGGCATATACTTCGTCAGCTGAGGGAGGATGTAAATCCACAGACCAAAGGTTGAACAAAATACGGGTATATGATTTAATTTCCAAATTAACTGCCGTTAAAAAATTCCACCCAGAAATCCAGACGTTGCTTTTCATCATATATTAGATTTCCAATAATATCTTTAATTAGATCACTAACAGACAGCCTACTGAATACCATTTGATTATCAGATCGAAGTAGTTTCGTGCATTACCCACTTCATTGGCTTTTTTCATTCTTTTGACTTCCTGATTTCAACACACTTCTCCATCCACACGCAAACTTCGTTTGAGCTGGTGTCTGGCAGACTGCCGAGCCGAATTATGCTGCGGTCCTGAGGGAATAAGTTTTGTATCAAGAAGCGATATTGATCGTTCTGATATCCATCTGATAAGCATGCGCACGGTCGAGAACTCCACATGCCAAGTTACCAACGTCACGTACAGCGCTCGTTATCTTTTCTTAGTTCTATGGATATCCTCTAAAGCGGCTATTTTCGAAGCACCACATAAT